AGTGGTCAGGGGCAGGTTTAGAAAAAAGGTAGAACTTCAGCTAATTCTTAAAGAACTGTGAGAAATGGTGCAGAGGAGCAGGAAGGAGTGTTTCAAAGAGCACTCCTGATTAATCATGAAAACCATGAAGGACTGTAATCATTATGATACAAACACATGTGAAGGCCCTTTTTAGCCAATCATCTGAACTTTCAACCCTGAGGCGTTAATCCGCACATAGGCCAGGAAAGAAAGCTGCCATCAAGCACTGGGCTAACAGGGAAGGATTAAGAGATTTCTCCTGTTCAAAAATTCCCCTCAATGTTATGGGACTGTCAAACAACGAGATAAATTTTTCAAAATGTCAGTACATAGAACCAGAATATCTAAACAAGCGCCATCCTTTACAGTAAAGTGAATCATCCTTCCAATGACTTTGTCACTACTTTCTGGAACTCCCCTCAAAACCAGTTTACCACCATTCTAGTTTTTTGACAGTCACAAATAAAACCTATTTACAATCACTCTAATTTTTTTCATCACAGCTAGTTTGGACTCCAAGAGAACATCCACCAGCTTTTCTCTACTTGACACCGAGTGACCTACAAAATGAAACTCTACCCTCAAAGAATTAAGAACTGCCACCATCAGGGTTTGCAGAGCTAGGTGTCACAGGCTCTGACGAGCAATTCCTAAAGAAGCATTCCAACGTAAGCTGAGTACAGCCCACCAAAAAAAAAAAAAAAGATACACAAGTTCCTGAGAATAACCACTTGGCTAATGCCCAGTTTGGGTTATTCAAAAACCCACAAACCTGCCTTCCTTAGTACTTCTAACACTAGAAGAGACAACTGCTTAGATGTCACTTTCTGATAAAGGTGTTTCTTATGAATTCATGACTATGCTACATACTTGAGGAGGAGTGGCCACACTTCCATGATAAGTAAAGCAAGAAGGATTCACCAGTTCTCTGGTAGCTTAATTCTAAAGTCCCAGCTTGGAGACTGCAGCACAATCTCAATTCAGCATCTCTCCCCTTTCCTCTTCAAGTCCTCTGCCCAACTCCTATAGGGGGTGCACTTCAACTCTTAGGAAGCAGCCGTCTCTTAACCCTCCACCTTCAAGGCCGACCTGTACCCAGCTTTGAGGACCCTGAGTTATGCGATGAAATAGACAGGAGAAAGGGAGGATGCGTCTGGGTTTGTTGTGTGTGCTGAGAGAAGTGTTCAAACAAGCAAAGGGAGGATCCCTTCCTGTAAGTGTTATTTTATCTTAAATACCTTTCCAGTTGTCACCCTGGGACTGTTCTCAGACAGAAAGGCTCACACCCCCACCCCTCCTGGAGATACCACAACCAGCCTTCCTTCCTTCACGCTCAGGACTGAGCTTCACCAGGCTAATCACAGCCCTCTCTACCGGCGTCCAGTTCTGTACTTCTGGTTCTGTGCTGTTTCTTTTTCACAGCGATAAAGCAGTTTCCTCTTTTCTTAGAAGGCAGTCTCTGGACAAATTCTTATGTACCCTTTGGTCTCATGAACTGTTTTGTTGGCATTTTTAAGTAATTTCCCTTTTGGACTCAGAGCTCTTTGAAAGCTAACACAGTACCCTGCTACCCTCTGTGTTCTGAGCACATCGTAAGCAGAAAATAAATGTCTGCCAATCAAATAAGTGAATGATAGATTTTAAAAGAGATTTCAGAAAGACAATAAGACTCTTCAGAATTATGGCATACAACTTTTTTTTAATAGAAGTTATTGTTATTATTTTTTTAATATTTATTTGGCTGCACGAGGTCTTAGCTGTAGTACATAGGATCTAGTTCCCTGCTCTCAGATCGATCCTGGGTCCCTGCACGGGAAGCCTGGAGTTCTAGCCACTGGACCACCAGGGAAGTCCCAGCATACAACTGTTTTGTAGTATTTGCTTAGAGTAAAAATTAGACTTAATAGCTTGTGCAGTAACTATTCAGATATTTAAGTCATACAATGATAGCAGATGCCATAATAATATGGCAGCTTAAGCCATTGGCACTAATTAGTGAGCAGCTAATACTCACTGACAAAACACTTAACCTTTCTGAGTCTTGGTTTTCCCTTCTGTTAAATAAAAAAAAAAAAAAGTGAGGCTCAAATGACATATCAAATCATAACACAAATACAACGTATTATCAGACAAATTTAAGCAAATTCCCATCATTAGTGTTATTTTATGTGCATACATTTGGCTAAAACATATGATTTAAGTTCAGACAACAGAGCTCATTGCCAAATATATAAAAAATATAACAGTACATGTAGGTCATGAAAAAATTTCAGTTATGAGAATACTTATGGAAACCTTCTACCTATTCAATTAGTCTACAGAAAAGCTTGTGACTAGGTGTCAGTTCAATCTGCAGTGATTCTCCGGACAGCGCTGGCCTGTTCTTTCTGCTGCGAAAGCAGGCAGCTTGAAGCACCAAGCCCAGTGACCTGCCTGAAGGCAGCAGCAGCCACAGCACCTGCTCCGCAACGCGCTCTGCGGCAGACGGCCCAGGGAGGCACGACCTGCGTGCCCGCGCAGAGCTGGCTCATCCGCGACCCAGGCCTGCAGCTGAAAACACAAGTGAGCACAAAGAAAATTCTCTAACGGCATACAGCTCAGGCAACCGCTATAATTAGGACCCACTACAGCCTGAACCAAGAAAAATGAATAAAATCGAGGAATGAGAGCACCAAAGCCAACCACACACACTAAACACATAGTTAAAAGTAGCTCTCTTTTTTCCGAAAGAAAAAAGTACTTTTGCCAGAGCAGTAACTGTAGAGAAAATGTAAAACAAACAAAGGTCCCTTCAAAATATGCTAACAGACATCACAAATAACACTGTGCTATAGATTTGGGGGTGGTGGTTTCAACTTCACTTGAATTCCTAAAAATGTCTACCTACTTCTCCAGTCAACCATTCTCTGTACTTTAAGCAAGAGAGACAAACAGATGGTCAAGATGCTGACACTGCAGGCCTGAGGTTTTCCAACTGTATTTTTTCCAGTTTTCCATCGCTAAAAGAGATGAAATACCGTATAATGTAGTATAAATCTTTAAGAAACCATTTCAAATCTCAGCCACATGCCAAACCAAAACAATCCTGCAACAGGAAACAAACCATGCACTTGTCCTGAAAAATGATGAAGCCTTAGCCTTACAGTCTGTAGGAGTTTCACACCTTCTTCAAGGAGAGAAAGGTGAGCTAGCCAGTATGAGTCCTAGAAACAGTTCCTTGGAATCATCTCTAGAAACAACCAGAGAAGTAAACAGTAATCAGCTGAAAGCAGATATACCAAGAATAAGGAGCTTCCAGGATTTCCCTCTCCATGTAAAAGCAATTAACTCCTATTTTTAATCTCTCTGACGCAAACATCCAGCCAAACTTCTCTCCTTCTAGCTAATCAAAGATAGCTGATGTGTTACTCTAACTTGCTTTAAAAGTCCAATTTGAATGAAAGTCATCATGGATTGAATGGCAATGCTTTAGTCTAGAAGAATGAGGTATTTTTGAGAGGTAGAATCAAGACAGCAATGCCCTGAACATTTCACAGAAACAGACTCATCCACCACAACTGATACTGGGGACTGGCCAAAGAGTAACTTCCCAACTGATTAACTGAAAAATAATATGTTGCTAATTGAGTGCAAATGAAAAGGGCGCCTCCCTATACATTAGGAAACCCTAACAGGGTTATTAAAAATAATTATTTCCCTCCATGCCCAAGTGACTTTATAACACTCAAATCTACTTCTGGTTTTTTACTGTAAAGGATGGGGGGAGGGGTGTGTAGAGAGAATGCCCTGATAAGTAAACAAAAAGTCAAAACTCTCCTGGGAGAAAAAAAAAACTCTCCTGGGAACTTGTCACATTCTTCTTTTCCAATCAGCAATTTTTAATCCACTTGAAAAATGCTAGTGGAGAGAGAGGGCCTTTGGCAAAGAACTCAAGAAGAATATGCAACTCTGGGGGCACCACCACAGTACTGACATCCAGCTTGGAGAAAATGCTGCTTTTGTCTCAGAGGCAGCCTGTGACAAAAACAGGAACTTTATGGAGAACTGATCACAACTGCACAAGAAGCCTGATCACATGCCCACAACAGAGCAACGTTTCTCTCATTGTTGTCCAGGGACTTCTCGAATAATAGTGGCTCGATTTATTCCATTCTTTTAATTCTCAAAACCAATCCAAGCGTCCTTGTAACAATCCATTGTCAAAAGAAAGACCGTGCCGGCCAGGATCTGCATGTAACCGGTAGCCACCTCTCTCCTTTCCTCTTCTACGTTTCCAAAAGGTGATCAGATGCGGAAAATTTAGCCCGAATACAGGCACCGAGGGGCGGGGGGACCCTTTTGACAAAGGTGCTCTAAAAGCCGCCCCGTGTGCCTCTCTCTGGGTTAATACCACTGCTTCTGGCCTCCTAAGGACCCTCAACGGCCCACACCGCTTCTATCTCACTCCTGTCACTGGGGAGGCATCTCGCATTGTTAAACAAGGAAGAAGAAATGCTGGCGGATTTCCCCAGTGTCTCTCTCTTTTTCTGAAGGGGGGAAGGGGAGCTGAAACAGGCTTGGGGCCCTCCCCTGGAAGAGAGTAGAGTACAGGAGCAAGCTGTCAGCCACCCCGCGGGCGGCCTCACCCCCACCCCGCCCCACCGTGCCCCGGCGCCCGGGCAGAAGCCTGAAGCGGGAGGACACAGCTTTGTCTGGGGTTTCGGGGGGCAGGGAGCGCAGAAGCAGCCCGAGCCTGAGGAAGACCTCTCCCCCCCAGCCCCGGCTCCCTCCCTCCCAGAGAACACAATGAACCACAGGGAAAGCCACTTTCCGGGGTAGGAGAGGAGGAGAGCGACCCTTCACGTGAAGCCCAGGCCAGATTTCCGGCACGCTCCTCCCCTCTGCCCGCACGGCCACCAGGGCGCGCGGTGGGGACCTGGTCTCCCCTCGCCGCGATCCGCAGCGGCGCCCGGGCGCCCGCTCCCTTGCCCGGCTCCTACCCTCCGAGAGCTCCAGCTCCAGCTCCGCCAGCTGCGCCCGCACTTCGGGCGGCAACGCCGCCACCGCAGCCGGCGAGGGCTCCAGGCCTCGCTCCGCCATCCCGGCTCTACCAGCCACACTCCGGAAGACAAACGAAGGGGCCGAAGGAGGGACGGACTGACGCGGCCCACACCCCGGCTACAGGATCCGGCTCCGGCCGCCGAGCGCCGCCAGCGCCGCCGCTGCCGCTGCCGCCATGAGCAAGGGTCACGTGAGCCCGGCGGCCCCGCCCCCGGACCCAGGACGCACCGCCTCCGCAGGCGAGTAAAGCTGCGGACTCCCGGGCTGATGGCGCCCTCTACTGGGAAATTCCTGAAACTACGAGTCCAAGCCCGCTGCCACGATTTCTCTCGAGCGAAATGGGCTCACTGGGTTGCTGTGAACCCGGACGTTAACCTTTTATGAACTCGCAAGGAAGAAGTTTTCAGGGGCCCCAGGCCTTGCTTTTTCCAGTTCTCTGCACTTAATAGTGTATGCTTTTGTCCCTTGCTTCGTTTCCCGGACTATTTGACACCACCCATTCATAATGACTTGAACTCAGGCATTTCTTTTCTTTGGGGCTTCCTGTGGTGAATGGGTCACATTTACCAGGAGCTCTTTATTTCTAAGGGGCTTCCCAGGTGGCGCTAATTGGTAAAGAACCCGCCTGCCAAAGGAAGACAGGTAAGAGACTCAGGTTCCAATCCCTGGGTCCAGAAGATCCCCTGGAGGAGGGCATGGCAACCCACTCCAGTATTCTTGCCTGGAGAATCCCATGGACAGTAGCGCCTGGCAAGCTATGTTTCTATTTCAGTTCTAGCATTTAAGACAGAAGGAGGAGAATCTGCGTCTTCCCGCCTAGACTTCTGACCTCTTCCCGGAAGGAGAACTTCGTCTTTATCTTTTTATCATCCTCGATGTATCATTAATAGATGTTCCTAAAGTATTAGTATTTTAATTCAACTTAAAGATCCAGACCTGTATGTATTTTTTACTACTTATGTATTTATTTTTAAATTTTTGGTTGCTCTTTCTTGTTGTGTGCTGGCTTTCTCTAGCTGGATGAGATGGGGCTACTCTTCATTGCCTTGCACAGGCTTCTCTTTGAAGTGGCTTCTCTTGTTGTGGAGCGCAGGCTCTAGGCACTTGGGCTTCAGTAGTTGCAGTAGGTGGGCCTCAGTAGTTGTGGCCCATGGGCTTTAGTTGCCCATGGAATGTAAAAATCTTCCCAGACCAGGGCTTGAACCCATGCTCCCTACATTGGCAGGCGGATTTGAGTTCACTATACCACCAGGGAAGTCCAGACCTGTGTGTATTTTTACCACAGACTACTGGGACAGTTGCCTTAAATTGCCATTCTTAAAGAGTATTGTATCTTTTATGTAAATGCCAAATCTCCCCATACAGTTTGATAGAATTCCAGTGTTTTTCTTCCCCTCCCATGCTGATCCAAAATTGGTACTTTGAGAGTTAAGGCCTCAGCATCTATTCTTTAGTAGTTCATGGGCTGGAAGTGGGGGAAATTTTTTTTTAGGCTGAGAAAAGAATTTCAGCTTGAAAAAAGGAGTGTAACATCATGCCGGATTGGGTAGTAGAGTTTGAAATTTCCTTTTAACTGCAACAATGTAAGAAGAATCTGTGGGAATGTAAGTATGTCTGTCCTCTGGTTTACAATGAGGACTGCGGCAGCTTTTTTTTTTCTAAGGTGGCAAATTTGTTGACATTCCTCCCATCAAAAAAGTGAGGTCCAGGGCTTCCCTGGTGGTCCAGTGGCTAAGAATCCGCCAGACATAGAAAACAGACTTGTGGACACAGTGGGGGAAGGAAAGAGTAAGACAAATTGAGAGAATAGCATGGAAACATATACATTACTGTATGTAAAATAGATAGCAAGTGAGAATTTCCTGTGTAAAACAGGGAGCCCAACCCAGTGTTCTGTGACAACTTAGAGGGATGGGATGGGGAGGGAGATGGGATGCGGTGTTCAGGAGGGAAGAGACATATGTATAGGTGTGGCTGATTTGTGTTGATGTGTAGGAGGCCAACACAATATTATAGAGCAGTTGTCCTCCAATAATTGTATTTTGTTCTATACTTCTCAACATTGTACAGGTATAATCTTTAATAATTTTTTTTTTTAAAGAATAAATACAAAAAAGAAAAAGAAAAAAAAATCTACCTCCCAATGCAGAGGACGAGTTCGATCCCTGGTCTGGGAAAATACCACGTGCTGAGAGGCAACTAATGCACCTAAGCCCACCTGCCTAGAGCCCGTCCTCCACTAAAAGAGAAACCACCCCAGTAAGTCCCACGCTGCAACTAGAAACTAGCCCCTGCCTCCACAATGAGAGAAAGCCCTTGTGCAGCAGTGAAGACCCAGTGCAACCAAAAATAAAAATTGAGGTCCATGTTCCCTTCCCTGCATCTGGCTGGGCTTCTGATTGCTTTGACCAGTAGAGTATGATACAAATGGCGCTATGTGACTTCCAAAGTTAGGTCCTAGAAAGACAGGCATCTTATCCTTGGTCTCTTGGAATTCTTCCTCTCCAGAGAACCACTTTCAAATTGTCTCAAGAGGGACTTTCCTGGTGGTCCAGTGGCTAAGACTCCCCTGCTCCTAATGCAGGGGGCCCAGGTTCGATCCCTGGTCAGAGAACTGGATCCCACATGCTGCAGCTAAGACCCAAAACAGTCCAATAAATAAATATATATATATTTTAATTGTTTCAAGGAACACATGTTTAAGCTAAAAGAGAACGTGTTATTTACTGGAAAGAACGATTAATACGAGGCCAAAAGTCTCAGGCTTCAAGGCAGATTAACTGCAGACCAACAGAAATACAATGTGACCAGAGATGTAATGTTAATATTCTAGTAGTTATATCAAGAAGTAAGAAGAAATAGCACATCTCAAGATTAGCTACATTTCAAGTGTTCAATGACTAATTCTGGCTAGTGACTACTGCATTGGACAACACAGGTCTAGACACAATCTTTACCTGCTTTATTGGCCCGTGGAATTCACTGGATTGAATAGTCCAGAAGCCCACTAAGATTTTGCAGCTGATGTATTGCCAAAGACACTCCAAATCTGGCTGTAACTGCTTCTAGCTGTTTAACACTTAATCTCTAACTTGCAACTCCCACCAATAGGGACACAGCAACAAACCATGCAGCCCCCAAGAAAGACATATACTTGAAGTCCATACCTAGTAGCATGGCATAGTATGCCAGTGAAGGACAATGAATAACTATGTTATCCTGGAGATCCAAACCAGAGGCTGCCAGACTAACAAACTTACTTCATCTGCCAAGGTAGGGCACCCTCACTAATCCTGTCAGGCAGTATGGTGAATTGTTTGCAGAAATAACTGCAAAAATGTGCACCCCCCATCGCAAGTATTCATGACCCTTGTGTAGACCCCCCTCCGACACTTAGGGCTTGACCATATGGCTGCTTTGACTGATGAGACAATAGCGAACATGACGCAGAGATTTGGAAAGTGCTTGTTGCTTATCCTCTTTCTTTCTGCTTTTGGAAACTCTGAGACCACCGTCTTATGATTCAGTGGGAGCTGGACTACTAGATGAGGAGAGATATGGCCCAGCTACCTTCAGCACTCCTGGCAAAACCCAGCCAACTGCAAGGTGTACATGAGGCCATAGCCTGCCAGTTGATCATAGGGCCACAGGTAAGGCCCGCTGAGCCCAGCCCACATGGCCAAAGCACATGAACCACAGATCATTGCCATTGTGTGTCATTAAGTCTTGTTACACAGCAAAACTAAGAAAAATGGGGTGTGGTATATGCTCTGGAGCAGTGTCTACTGCATATTTTCTCATCCTTTTTTGTTTTGAAAGGAAAGAGCATGATTCCTACATGTATATTTTCTATATTCATGTCTTTATTTTAAAATTTTACTTACTTATTTTGGCTGTGCTGTATCCTGGTGGTAGGTGCACACAGGCCTCTCTAGTGGTAGCATGTGGGCTTAGTTGCCCTTGGCCTGTGGGATTTTAGTTCCCCGAACAGTGATAGAACCCATGTCCCCTGCATTGGAAGGCGGACTCTCAACCACTGAACCACCAGGGAAGTCCCATATTTCCTTTCCTGAATGGAAGTGTTATTGTACTTACACTTACTTTTCTGGCTTTGTCTTCTGCAGTGATTCTCAAACATCAGTATGCATCAGAGTCACAGGGAAAGTGTAGTAAACACAAAGTGGTAGATCCAACCCAGAGTTTCTTTCTCTCTCTTTTTTTTTTTTTTTGCACCAAGAGGTCTTTTTATTTAAATTAATTGCATTTACAACTTAAATTCATTTTTTTGTACATGCACTCTATGTCTCACATTGTCATTTTTTTAATATCTAGCATTTGTTTCAGGCTGCTAGATGCTGGAGGAGATTTTTTTAAAAAGAACTTGTTTCTTTCTTAACATCAACAGACTTACCAATAGGGGATATAAGGTAAATATTATATTTACTTAAATATTACATATTGCTGTCACTTTTAAACAAAGGGCCAGTACAATTCTAAACGCTAAATACATTAAATCAATTTTCACACAATCCCTTTAAGGGACTATACTGTAGTTTCTAATTTTGCTGGTGATGAAAATGAGGCATGGAGATTTTAACTTGCCTAAGGTCCCACAGCTTATGTGTGGCAGCGGTAAGATTGAAATCCAGGCACTCAAAAATCAAACCCTGAGTTTCTAACCATTTTATTGTACTGCTACTGAGAAAGAACAGGCTGCTTAATATACAGAGTTCTAAAGTTAGCACTTATTTCTCAGGAACCACTATCCTTTTTTTCTTTTCTTTTTTTGCTTAGGAAAGTAATAACACAAAAGAGAAGACAGCTTTCCCTATAGTTTGAGGACCCCAAACCTTTAAAATTACATTGTATTAGCAATTTCACAGATAAAACCCAGATTTTCTGATTTCATAGCTTTGGGATGTGGCCCAGTCAGTAATTTTCACATCCAACGAATTCTGTGGTGACACTGCTGTTGCTGGCGTAAACTGCACTTTGAGAAACACTGGTATATTGGATATGTTGGAGACAGTTAACTTGCC